TTTGGGTCCACCACGATCCACTGGCTGGGGAATTGGCTCCGTAGTCGGACCCAGAGGGTGGTGGTTGATGGAAGTCAATCGTCGTGGTGCCCTGTGACCAGTGGGGTCCCTCAAGGCTCTGTCCTTGGACCTATTTTGTTCAACCTCTTAATTAATGATGTTGACACTGGAGTCAGAAGCAGACTGGCCAGGTTCGCCAATGATACCAAACTCTGGGGTAAAGCATCCACACCCAAGGACAACGGGGTAATCCAGGCTGACCTTGACAGGCTCAGTAAGTGGGCAGATGAGAACCTGATAGCATTTAATACCAAAAAATGAAAGGTGCTCCACCTTGGGAGGAAAAACCTGCAGCATGTCTATAGGCTCGACAGTGCTACGCTGACTAGCACTGTAGGCGAAACGAACTTGGGGGTCAGGATTGACCACAAGATAATCATGAGCCTGCAATGTGATGCTGCAGCCAGTAAAGCAAGGAAAACGCTGGCTTGCATCTATAGGTCGTTCTCAAGCAAAAACAGGATGTCATTCTCCCATTGTACTTGGCCTTGGTGAGGCCGCAGCTGGAGTACTGCATCCAGTTTTGGGCTCCACAATTCAAAAAGGATGTGGAGAAGCTTGAGAGTCCAGAGGAGAGCCATACGCATGATCAGAGGTCAGGAAAACAGACCTTATGACAAGAGGCTGAGAGTCATGGGACTTTTCAGCTTGGAAAAGCGCAGGCTCACGTGTGACCTGATAGCCACCTATAAGTTTATAAAGGGTTTTCACCAGGACCTGGGGAAATGTTTGTTCAACAGAGCGCCCCAAGGGATTATAAGGTCAAACGCTTATAAACTCCTGCAAGACCACTGCAGCCTGGACATAAGGAAGAACTTCTTTACTGTCCGAGCCCACAAGGTCCGAAATGGCCTGCCGCTGGAGGTGGTTTAAGCACCTACTTCAAATGCCTTCAAGAGAAACCTGGATGTTTTTCTTGCTGGGATCCTATGACCCCAGCTGACTTCCTGCCCCTGGGGCAGGGGGCTGGACTTGGTGATCTTCTAAGGTCCCTTCCAGCCCTAATGTCCATGAAATCTATTTTTCCTCACCTGTATTATGCAATACATAGCTACAGTACAGTTTGATAAGACCTAAGGAGTTGTGCCTTTCAAAAAAGGTTGGAATGATCTTCACACAACCCATATTACGTCTCAGCTCCTCTATAATTTGCCTATACCCCTCATCCTGATGATGGCCACAGGCTTTGGGTCTGACAGCTATCCAGATGAGCAACTCAGCCTCTTTTCCAGACATACATTAGTGTTTTGGTAGACTGTAGCAGAAAGCTGCTCCAAATGCATTTTGTATATCCATCCACTGATGTAAAGATAGTAGGATATCTAGCACCTTTATTCAGTTGATTGACTTTGGTCATCCTTGGAAAAGCCTGAGATGAAACCTTGAGTTATAGAGGCAAAGAAGGACACGTGCTTGAGACATTCCTTACATCTTTACTGCTGTTAGGCTACAAAACTAACCCAGATGATATAAAAACTTTGTCAGAGGAAAAAACCTCTGGCTAACCTTGACCCAAAAAAACTGCTCTTATGAATTCCACTAACTGGACCAGGATAAAAATTAATTTCCTGTGGACAACCCAGGTCAGTGAGGAACAGATCTAAAAAACTAGCATATTGAACTGAATCCCAGATGACCTTGAATTTAAGGGATCCCCACACAGTAGCTAGATTCTATACATGGAATACGTATACATTTGTTATAATTTTCCATGTATAGAATCTAATGACTGGAAGACTGTCTTGAATTCATCCCCCTCTACTGCTACTGCAAGGCAAGCAGTGGCAGGGGGCAGACAGTGGGGGATGGGAGGTGTCAAGCAACTTAACTCCTGTCCCCTTCTGCAGCCTCAGACTCCCCCACTCCCTCCCCTACGACCTCTGCCTCCATGCCTGCCTCCCTCAGGCTCCTCCCACTTGCCCTGCCCTCCCCGCTATTTCCCCTTGCTCTGCTCTGGCAGGATCCGGCCCTGCTCCAGCCTGGGACATGGAACAGAACCCCAGCCTGGCCCGGTACCAGTGGCAGCAGCATGGCATCTGCAACCCTGGCTCAGACCCAGACGCAGGTGCTGTCACCACCAGTGCCACAGGGCTGGGCTAGGGCTCAGTGGGGCCACAGCAAGGGTAATGGTAGGGGGGCAGAAGGAAGCAGGTGGCAGAAGCTGCTGCATGAGGAAGAAATGGGGGCCAGGGAGCCTGAGGTTGCAGGCTTGTTTTTAAATAAATGCTGAAGAGAGATTTGTCATATTGGTATTTAAAGAAAAAAAATTATGCTTGTGCATTGTTACATAAATTTGGAAGATTGACCAGGCCCTGTAGCCAGTACATTTTTTGCATCTAGGTCAGGAGTGGGCAAAATATGGCCCGCAAGCTGCATCTACCCTGCCAGGCCATTCTATCCGGCCCCTAAAAAAAAAAATTTGGAAAATTAATATTTATCTGCCCCCGGCTCCTGTCAAAGATGACAAGAGCCAGGGGCAGTAGGACCCAGGGAAAGCCACGGCAGGCTCCTGCAATGGCAGGGCCCGCCCAGCCCTGTCCTCCACCAGCCGGAAGCCCCTAGCAGGGGCCGTTCGTGGCTGTGTCAGCATGGGAAATTCAGATAAGAATTGGGGGGAAGCAGGGGAGGACCATGGGGATCACCCCAGTCCTTGGGGCCAGGCCAGTTCCTACTGAGCCCCACGGTCCAGCCTTGCAGGTGGGTGGAAGCAAGTGGCGTGCAGGAGCATAGGGCCAGCGCCAGTGGAGCCCAGAGCAGGGCAGTAAGAGTGCAGGGTGTGGGCTAGGTTTCCCTGGCGGAGAGGAAAGGAAGCTGACCCAGCTCCAGAGCTCCTCCTACCTGCAGTGGGCCCCACTGGCGGTAGCCCTTGGACACCGGCATGGGCCCCACTCTCCTACCCATCTGCTGCTGGCTCCTGTGCACCTGATCACTCCCAGTGCCCCCAGTCCAGCCCCACAATACAGGTGGGGACGGGTGCGCAGCCCCAACCCCACATGCCACGTGCTGACCATCTGGGCTGAACAGTGGCGGCGGGAATGGTGCTCAGCACAAGAGAAAGGTGGCCCCCTTCTCCCCATGGCCCGTGCTTCCTGCTCCAGCCACTCACAGCCCATTTGGGGCTGTCCTGCCTCTCCACCACGTGACAACAGAGAGCAGGCACAGGCAGCTCACACAACAGAGGCAATAGAGAGCAGGCACAGGCAGCCCTGCGTGGGCTCTGAGAGGCTGCAGCATGGGACACAGACCACGGGGAAGGGGAGCAGCCGCTTCCCCCATGCTGAACACCAGTTTGTTCCCTGCTGCCACTGGTAGCTTGAGCCCCACACCAGCTCTGGACTCACCTGTTGGGGCTGAGCAGCAGCAGCAGCTGAGCAGAAACTGCTGCTCAGCATGGAGAAAAGCAGCTCCCCTGCTCGCTGCCATTGGGCAGTGTTTGCTGTGGATGCCCGCCCAGAGCTTGCACCGCCCTACGCTGCAGTGCAGATGCTTCATCCCTGCCTCTATGCTGCTCAGTGCGGCAGCAGCAGCCATGTAGAGCAGCCACAGGGGAGCACAGAGGCAGCAGTGAAGTAGCCACCCCACAGCTGAGCACAGCGCAAGCTCCGGGTGGGCAGCCACAGCAAACACTGCCCGGTGGCAGTGAGCAGGTGGGCCACTTTCCTCTGTGCTGAGCAGCAGTTTCTGCCCAACTATTGCTACTGGCTACTGCTAAGCTACTGCTGCTGCTCAGGCCTGACAGCAAGCCCAGAGCTGGTGCAGGGCCCAGGCCAGCAGCAGCAGTGGGGAATGAACTGGTGCTCAGCATGAGGGAAAAAGCGCTGCCTGTGTCTGCTCTGTACCCCATGGGCAGTGGTGATATGGCAGAGAGGCAAGACAGCCCCGCACAGGCTGTGAGCGGCTGCAGCAGGAAGTGCTAATCACAGAGTGGGGGAGGCGAGCAGGGCGCTTTCCCCCTGTGCTGAGCACCAGTTCATTCCCTGCTGCTGCTGCTGCTTACTCCAGATGGGCGAGCATGGAGCTTGTGGGGTTGGGGCTGCACGCTTCTTGCTGCCTGTACCCCGGGGCTGGGGCAGGGGGCACTGGGAGTGAGCAGGCATGCAGAAGCCAGCAGCAGCTGGGCAGGAGCACAGGGCCCAGGCCCATGTCCCAGTGGCAGTGGGACCCAGAGCAGGGTGGCAGGAGCATGGGGTCCTGGTCAGCAGGGGCTCCATGGAGCTGGGTCAGCTCCCCACCCTCCCTGCTGGTGCAGCCCAGCCTGGCTCCACAGATCCCTGCCAGCCCACACCCCATGCTTCTGCCACCCCACTCTGGGCCCCGCTGGCACTGGCCCCAGGACTTTGGTGCAGGCCCCACACTCCCACTTGCTTCCACTCCCCCCCACTGCTTTCCCCACTTTCCTGCCTGCCTGCCAGCCACTCTGCACTACATGCCCACATCAACACACACCCACAAACACCCATACGCAATCACTTCTGCATATACAGAACAAATGCACACAAATCAAGACAAATATATATATTTTTAATTAAATTAAAATATATTATTATGGATGCTTGATTTTTTAAATGTAATTTGTTTCCTCCCCCCCCACAAGATGGCAAACCCTCTTTCCCAAAGGAAAACTTTCAGGAGGAAGGGGAAGGACTTCTGGTGGTAAAGGTCAGAGGTTAGGGGTGGGTCCCAAGATAGCAACCAGGGGCCAGGGCACCTTTCAAGCAGCAGGGCTGCCCATGTGGCCCTCAACAGCTTGCCAAAACTCAGCAAGTGGCCCTCCACCCAAAATAATTGCCTGCCCTTTAATCTAGGTTAAAAGACATTCAACTGCTCAACCAAACACAGAAATTATGTGGTTTCAAGCTATACAAAAAAAAAATCATTTGATATTTTAACATTTAAAAATGGATTTTAAAAAGTCAACTCATTTTATTCTGAACATTTACCTGTATAGTTGAATCTCCCATTATAAATTTTGTTCCTTCTATTACAGCCATATATGAAAACCTTAATTGGTCAGGTGTCTGAATAAGCCCCATTCGATATTTCCTCATGTCTAATAATACTTTCTTTATGTCTACAGAAAAGGGATCCTTTTTTTCCATCTGTAATGAAAATGGATTAAAATTATACTAAGAGTTTCATAGATTAAAGGCAAAAAGGATAGTATATAAATCATAAAATATGTACATTCAACCTCATGCTGCATTCTTCAGTTATTCCCAAAAAAACCAAACAACTGAAAACAGGTTTCCCAAATTATTCATCATGAGTTCTACTCAGAAACAAAAAGGTACACTGTCAGTTCTTTTAAATCAGTCAGTAGCCGAAATTTTAAAAAGTATACCAAATAATAAAATGACTCAAAGTAAAATTGCAAGATCTGATAATGCCAACTTTTAAAAACTGCTTTCTGGAGGAACTCTGTGAATCTCTCCATATTCCTCATCACAATTATTCCAAGGGTCCATTTTACTTAAACTAAGCATCTACAACAATGTTTGATTTCACCTTCTTTTTTTTTGGGGGGGGGGGGGGGTTTTTTTTTTT